GAAAGCTTCAAGGCCGAGGCATCCTTATCATTGCCTCTCAGACCAACATAGTCAGAAAGGCCAAGTTCTACTTCAAAAACGATATGTTCTGTCCGTGGCAGTCATTATTAGATCTCTGATGCGATATCCACACCTTACTCGATTCGGGTTTTATCTTTTTTCATAACACAAGAAGTAAAATGAAACAACTCAAATGTATGTACACTGAAATGACTAGCAACTTCCTGTAGAATCCGGATAAAGAGCTTACTTGAAAAAAAAAAACTAAATGTCAGCTCATTAGCTTCCACCAAGAACTCTCTTAAGGTCATTCTTCTGTTCTGATATTAGCCTTGACGGGAACAAGATCTCAAAATTAACTCTTAGGTCTCCTCTTTTCAAAGGGTCTTTAGTAGGCATTCCCTCGTTCCGGATCACAATCTCCTGACCCGGTTTTACAATATCCAGAACCGGGATTGTTAGGTTCCTCCCGTCTAGTGTCGTTAGGCTAATGGTGACACCGGTTAAAGCATCTATAAGAGAGACTTTCTTCTCGACAATCAAATCGTTACCGTCTCTTTTGTAGACCGAATGCGGTTTCTCATCGATAACAAAGATGAGATCCGGAGGAGTGACTCCTGGTTCTTGGTTTTTTTTTTCTCTGGGAAAGTTATCTTTGTGCCTTTCTTCCAACATGGTTGATGTGTTGCGTTTTTAACGCATTCTAACCCATGTTTTCAGTGTTTTATCGAGTATTTTCTTTGTTTTTAGAGTCTTTGCAGGTTGAAATACGTTTGGAACGAGTCTAAGGCAAGATGGAACAAAGAAAGGAAGAAAAGGAACAAAAATGATGAAATGACTACAGGATCGACCTGAAGATCGACCTTAGGATCGACCGATCCGAATTTACCCAAAACGTCGGATCAGTCCAGGATCGACCAAGGAAGAAGGGCTACGTTTCTGACGATTGGATCGATCGATCCGTATGTGGATCGGTCGATCCTGACCCTAAACCAGCCCAAAAG